GGGGGGGTTTCAGCTTCCCAGTGACTCTTACCCAGCACCAACATCGTGCCATTATAGACCATTTTCCTAAAAGGTTCGGAGGAACTACTAGGAAGATAGTGTTGAACTGTGCCAGTGGCCTCCCTGTGCTCCGTTTGGGGTGTGGAACGTGGCGAGTCCTTCCGGAGTACCTTACATGCTGACTGCTATTCGTTACAAGCGTGTAGAACCAATTCATATATGACAAGTGACATATATGTAGTGATCGGGATGGTGCTTGACACGTAGCTACGCAAGTATGCAGAGTTGAGAGAGGTGCATCGTATTATACCTAGCATCTCCTCTCAACACCATTGTGCCATTATTTCGCTCAACAATTAATCGGTTCAATCAAAGCTTTCGTCTGGAGTCTGAATTTAACAAAAACACGTTGAGAGTCGCGGTGTACCAGGGTGGTTTTTACTAAGCTTTCAAGTCAGAAGTATTGTGGATCTCAGCCATCTCGTGAAATTTATGGGTTGGGGAACATTCCACTCGAGTGATAACAGTTTGCCACAAGGTGTAAACTACAGACTCTTCCTATAGGCTCATTCATCTGAGAACTTGCCTTTTCATGTGTTGCCAAGTTCTGATTGGAGCAGACACTGATCGATCTGTCAATTTCAACCAAACTTAGGAGGGCAAGATGACTGCCTTCACTTGGTCATTACCCCGCGTCATCATCGTCGATCACTAACACCTGACTAGTTTGCGGCTATGGCGTTTACTGATACGAGTCCCAGCTGCAAGCCAACTCCTCGCTACCGCTGATAATGACCGTGCCATCTGCAGTTTCCAAGGGCAGACAACTGCATACACGTTCAGCCATGTAGAGTTGGTGGAGCAATGTAAGGTTCCGTCCGCTTATCGTATCTTACAACGTGGGCAGGTGAGCCGCGGGACAAAAGCAGCCATACTCTTCGTTGGATGAGATCGCTATGTTGACGTCAGTTGCCCCTGCAGCAAATAAACTCTCCAATCTACGAATGCAGGGCGCAAAGTCATTACAGTATGCACCCATGACTCTGTGAGATTTTGGCTCTGATCCGTAATAATCAGCGCTGGCACTAGTCAGTTGTAGGGGGGGAAGCAGATATGCAAAATCATGTTTCTATTACTATGGCTGCTTCAACTAAGATTATTTTAGTCCAGTTCGGACATGGTTACCAAGCACAAATGTTATACCTCCACAAACACCAAATATGGGTGTCAATATATAACCCAAAAAACAGCAGCACAGTTGCTCGCCCGTACCAAACAAGACCTGGAGGGTTTGGCATAACGGTACCAAATGAAACGGGGTTCAACGTTGGCGGGGCGCGCACTAGTTCGGCTGTTAGCACAATGCTGAAGGGTGTGGACTGATAGACTGACCAAGCAATGAGCGCATAGCTGGTCATTTTGATCAATGAAGTTGTAGTTCTTAGGGTGGCCTTCCTGTTGCCAGTTTCGGCAAGGATGTCTGTAATAGCCACCGCCCGTTGCGCCAGTAGGCCTCCCACCAGAAGATGATGATTGTTGCTGATTCTGAGATGAAGACATGATGGTAGTTTTGGAAAAGACTTGGATGAATGGGTGAAGATAATTGTCGAAATCAGCTTGATCTAGGTGATACTCCTGTAGGTATTGAGAGACGATCGCTGTCAATTTTGTTCTTCATATCGGAGACACTATTCATCACTTTATAGTCGCACTAGATGCCTTTCTCCCTCAAGTGTTGCCATGCGGTTTCCGCGCCTCAATCAAAGATCACTAGACAGAAAGACGGTGGCTAGGCAAATTCCGCCCCTACCGGGGAGCAGTCACATTGCATTGTTGTTCCGGTCCAGGAGTTGGCCGTCAGGCAGTCTTGTGAGGAGATGGAGACGCCACACGGCACAACGAACGCCTCACGACACCGGGGCATCGGAGAGGAAATCCACAACCGTGCCTCCGCCACACTAGCATGCGCATCTTCAGAGCCACTCTGAGAACAGATGCTGTCATTTCGAAGCTGTCGTCGTGCGATTCTCCATCCACTTTCGGTTTTCACTCGGTTCTTCTGCCTGAGTGCATAGGCCGATTTTCTTCCCGCGAGCGCCGCACCAACCGATTACACCTTCGTAGCATCAACGAACAGCCTGAGGCATCAAGCATCGGCTTCTCCGTCAAAGCCTAAAATCACAGTATTCAGCTCCAACGTGCCGCTCGTTGTCTCACTCTTGGGCCACACATATGGCCTTCAAACGGCGCAACAGTAGTCGCTATCGAATGCTGGTAACCAACACGACGCTAGGCAAGAGGGAGCGGGCTCTCTTCCACCTAGCCAAATACCTTCTGCCAACGGCTGATCAGTATCATTCCACTACACACCGCCCCCATTTGTGCCTTGTGCCAGCGCAAATATGCCGCGTACTCGATTCATGATTATGACTTCATTTACGGGCCTGGGTGTCTTCACATCGTTGTGCCGGTAACGCCGCAGATGGCCTGCGCTCCTCAGGACGACGGACGACACACGGTCATCCCAGGATGAGCTGTGGGTGTTCAAATTATCAAATCAGTTGGTTTTCGTCATTTCCAGAACTTGTTTTCCAAAGAGCCATGTGCGCAAACTTTGGATCCTTAACCAGGCATGGGAAGGACAAATCAGACGATGTTGACTCATGGCTCGGGTGCGTTCCGATTCTCAAAACTTAGGTGGCACATGGTATTTGGAGACTGTTTCTCGCAGTAGCTGTTCATTGCTGAAATAGACAATGCTTTTTGGTGTGTAGGTATCATGGAGTTGAAACATGATTAGCATCTGAGCAAGCTGGGACGGTTGGATGTAACCGAGAACTTCACCACAAAAACATCCAATGGAGATATTTGGGGCAGGAGAGAAAGCAAACTCATGTACACCCATCCCAGGATTCTAGTAAAGCTGACTGCTTGGGAGTAGAATATGTGGCTCGGGCTTGATAGTATTTTTCCATCTGCTCCACACCTTCCCACACTTACTTCAAGTCCAGCATGACACCACCACCTTCTTCGGCATCGAAAAACTCTTCCTCTTCCTTTTGTCCTTCCTCGTCTAGGATATCATCCCCGTCACCAGCTCCTTCAAGTATTGCAATAGCCTTCCATGCGGCGATAGTCTCAGCCTGCAGCCGCTTCACCCCTTTTACCACACGTCCAACATCCTTACCACCGACTCTGACTTGTACCTGGTAACCCACTTCATGAACCCCACTTTTTTCATCTCCTTCGCCCTCGCCATTACTCACAACACGAACATACTTCACTTCTTTGTCTACCGCAAGAATACCCAGGCGTTCCTTTGGATGTAGGCAATCTACTCCATCGTGCAAGATGCGTTCAAGGCACTGCAGAATGCCAAGGCGTTGAACAAACTCTTCGCAAACAGGCAAACACCCATGGCTATCTATGTAGAGCGCACCAATCATACTCTCGACAATGTCGGAGAGAAACTTCGGCGGATCCGTAAGTGAGAGAGCGTGCCATGGAAAACGGGTATCGTGCTGGATAGCCTCGGCAATTTGAATCCGGGCCTCAGAATGTCGTTTTATGGCCAGGTTTCGTGACATGACAAGTTCATGGCTTGTAGACCGAAGGAACTGCCATAGAGCTCTTTGATGAGCTTCAGGTTGTAATGTCTCCTTGTTCGTGAACACCTCTTCCACAGTCGTCTCGAACATACTGTAAGCGAGGAATGAGGCGTTGACCATCGCAGTTCGGATTCCGTGCATTTTATAATGCGGGAGCTCTGGTTTATGACTATAGAGTCGTTTTGAAACGATGTAGTCGAGCACTGCGTCGCCAAGAAACTCTTCTCGCTCGTACGAGCAATATGTGTTGAGGCCGCGGAACGTAGGGTGCGTGAGCGCTTCGAGAAGCAATGCCTTGTTGTTAAAAGCATGGCCTACGAGTTTTTCCACTAGAACGACACCCACTATGGAGTCATGTTTAGGAGCGGCATTGTAGAGTGTATCATTGGCCTCGGGGATGGACATCCAATCCTCCGATGGTAGTAGTGCTTTCACACATGCAAATGCTTTTGAAAATCCGCCAATAACGTATGAAGCACCAATGAGTGACTCTATGACGTCAGCGATCAATTTTGAGGACTTCTCTTGCTTGGCTGGTGGGTTTGTGATGGCGAGCACCTGACTGACGTATCTTGGCTTCCACTTCGCTCCTGTAAAGCGCTTGTAGAGAATAAATCCATCAAGGCCTCTGGCTAACGCTGCCCGCGCCAAATAACCATTACTGACAAGTTTACCCTTCTTCCCTGTCAAAATACCCTCCGGCATACGAGGATGAGTAGCCATGAGATGGAGAGAAGTAATAAACTTGAGAATGCAATCTCCGAGAAACTCTAACCTCTGATAGTTCTCTTCCCCGTCCACTGCAGATGGGGTAAGTGCCAAAAGGATTACAGGTAAATGAGAGATGCCGATGTCGACACTTTGAAGAACGGTTGTTCTGAGTGTGTTGGCTACCATGTATGTTTCAAGTTTATGAGTGATTGATGGAAACAAGGATGCCAGTATAGCGTACGAGGCTGGAAGGTTGTCGACAATGCACGATGTGATTGCAAGACTCTCAGTTCTGGTGTAGGCTTCGTTCTTGTTTCCGCTCCCAAAGACAGGATGCAAAAAGTCCCTGCGCTTGGGAAAACGCACGGCTTCAATGGATATTTCTTGAACGTTTTGGAAATCCAGAGATGCCGTCGGCAAGCTGATTGTTCTAGCGATAAATGGTCGCATATCTCCTTGTTGCTTTACCAGACCCCATCTTTTCAAGTCAACGTTGCCGTGGAGTACAAGGTCCATAGCCGACTGCTGGCTCCCAATCATCTCTTCCCATTCACGGAGTTCAGCTGTTGACATAACACCGCCTAATTTAGTGCAAGGGGTAAGTAGATAGACAAAATCGCAAGTATCTTCCTTCATATGAACACCAAAGATAGAATGAAGCATTTTCCAAGTAATAGAGCGCAGTAGCTGAAGCTCAGAGTCATCCAGGGTTACGCTGTTCAACGGAGAGCTCTTCACGTTGTAGCGTTTTGTTTCGTTCCAATGTAGTAATACACCTTGCATTACAGGCACAAGGGATGGCGTCAAAAGGATCATTCGCAAGGACTCCTCATTCGCCGTAACTTCAAGCAAAGTACTATGCCACTCAGAGAGAGCAATTTGTTGATACTGAGCGATGACTTGCCAGGGGTCGATGGTATGCGAGACAGGTATCAGAGAAGGCTGGCTGTCACGAGTCTGATATTGTGCCATGTGTGTACCATCTTCTTCTATCACAGGGAGGAGGTGTTCGTTTACCAAACCAGCGGTATACAAGGTTTTGTATGCTTCGAAAGCAGCGTCTTTTTGCGCCATCCGCTCTGTTTTCCATGTTCTAGAGCTATTGGCAGTTCTTACTGTAGGATCGACAGAAATAGGGAGCGAAGCTTTGGCAGAAACTCGACCATCAATGTTAGTGAAATCGAAATGTGGCCGGGCATCCACGTAGGTACCGGAGGACAGGCGAGCACAAAAGTGGTAGAGATGCTGCATAGCATTATCGAGTGTCAATAAGGCACTAAGGTATCCGTCAGCTATTTTGGGCTATTTTGGGGTTGTTCGCTCTGAAGAGATGGTAGCTCGATGCTTACCCAGTGGTTTCAATCCTTAGGCATCGTAAGTCATACTCTTCGATAGATTCTTTTTCGGAGGATAGTGCTGTTTGGCGCTTGTCGTCTTCATATGCCTTCCTCATTTGAGCTTCAAGAGATTGCCAAGATGCCGGGGTGTAAGCATATCCCATGTCCGGAACGAGGATGTAATAACGCGACCTCTGTTGTCTCGCTCTCCCACGTCGTTGAACGAAGCCTCTACAATGGCAAAGAAAAAGTCAGGTTGTGTTTTGAACAGTATTCCACACAAGTAAACCTACTTGAGAGTTTTAGGGGCCTCAAAGCACACCACAAGGTGACAGCTGGGTATATCAATGCCTTCCTCCAAGACACTGGTAGCTAGAACAAGATTGATGATACCAGCCTTAAAATCATCTAGTACTGTTTGCTGGTTTTTTGGGTTCGCGTAATCGAATACGCTTGATTTGTGCTGGGATGACTGCGACGTGCCGACAAATGTACCTACGTGGAGTAGAGCTTTCGTGCGTGGGTGAGAAGCCAGGATCTCGGCAAGAGATGCCACCCACACTCTCTGCTCCACAAACACAAGACCAGTGAAGTTCGAATTGGTGACGGCTTCAGCGACTATAATGTCAATGAGAACGTTCACTTTGTGTGATAAACTTTCTAATATCGAACTGGATATGCCTGTGGTGTGTTGGGTTGGGAGACGTTCAAATATGTTCAAAAGATGTCGCCTCTCATCGGTGGACAAGTCGCAAGACTGAACATGGGCCAGATTTTTGAAATCATTAACGCACTGATATACGTAATGTTCCATAGCAGAGTTTCCAAGCTCTTGTGCCATTGCCTCAGCTTTTGAGACCAGCTGCTTCAACTGGTCATAGCAGTAAGTCCTTTGGCTATCCCAGAGCTTCTGAAGCTGTCGAGAGACATTGTATCCATTTCTCTGCTGTTCCAAGAGTGCGATTAGATATGGGTCCTGCATGAGGTCATAGTTCATATATGCATTCTTGAGTGCCAACAGCAACATCGAGAGACTTCCAGTGGAACGCTCTCGGTTGTAGTTGACTTGGATTAGCTCTGGTCGGTGAACAGAGCGAAGCAACTCGGATCTATATAGTTTTGGTGTTCTCACAGTCGCTTGTAGGTTTCGTTCAATTACCCTTGTACATGTCAGCTGATACGGACCCGTGGGATTGCAGAGATTACTCTAGGCCTTGCTTGTTGGCCGCTGCTCTCATGACGGGGCTGGCACTCAGGCCGAGAACTTTAGGTAAAGCGAAATTGCTGTCGCTTCGCTGAGGCATATAGAAATCAGACATAATCTTGTGAGCCGGATGTTTCAGTGTACAGTGGTGAGCTAGAATTCATCAGCGAAACTGATTCTTCTCTGAAAGTAGATGACGGACCTTCGTCAAATATGAGTAAAGCTAGCTTTTGGAGGCTCATGAACCCATGTGTGAGTGCGTCAAGTAGAATTTGATGTGTTGATATGACAATTCTGACATTGTGTTGAAAAACCTCATTCCAGGCGCTCTGTGTCGTCCAGAGCTCAACGTCTCTTCCGCAGAGAAGCAGATGGCTATAGCCAGGAAGGTTGGCTTGGAAAACTTCATACTGCTGTTCGCAAAGTGCGACTGTGGGTGCAAGAAACCAGACGAGCTGAATAGGTGAGATGTAGTCTAGCGTAGTGGGACTTAGCGGTAGACAGGTAGTATCCGCACCTTGTCGGGCTTGCACGTCTCCAGTTCCGCCCGCGCACGTTCGATGGCTCTGCTAGTCTATTAATTCCATTCCTTGAAAAACAAAGTGGGCAGCCTACATATGCGTTTTTCCAGAACCTGTATCCATGACAACAATGATGTTGGCTTTCATGCTCTCCGCAACCATTTCAGCCTGGTAGCCCCGCAGATGGAATACCTCGTCTGGAGTAGCCGCAACGATTGAACCGTTGTCGCCATTGTGAGATGGCGAGTCCATAGGTGGCATAAGTACCGAAATCAACAATAGAGACGATAGTTGTATCCTTAGGGGTAAGTCATGGGAGGTGTTCGCGGTAGTGATGTTGGCTGACCGGCGACATGCAGGTGTGTCGCACAAGGCAAACAGCCAACATGTGACGCATTGTGCTTTGACCAACCCTTCGGCAGGGGACGCGCCATCAACTAACAGCAGGCAGAGACAAGGAACACACATTGGGTATTGTTGGACATCGTTTTCGTAAATACTACATAGGTCGCTTCATGCCTTTGGTCATAACTCGGTAGGGGTGGTGCGGCAAGACATCTAGCCATCTACAGATTGGTGAGGTAGTCCTCGACTTCGGAGGGGCTCAGCTTCCTGAAGCGTGGGCCGACAGCACCTTCGACTCCCTCTACACCAAGTAGTCTCTCCTCCGGCGGTCCAACGATGCCTATTTCGACAGTTTCACCATTCATTTCTCCTTCTATCGTCTCCTTGAGGGTGAGGAGGGCAATGTGGATCGCATCCTCAAGCTCCAGACCGTCCGTGTATCGCTTTTCCAAGAATGTCTTTGCACTCGTTGCGCTCTTGCCTATAGCTGTTGCTTTCCAGGGGAAGTAGCTGCCGCTCGGATCGACCTGATATAGACTGGGCCCACCCTTAAGAATACCGCCTGTCTTGCCGCTGACCTTCTTCTTCTCTTCACTCGTCTGTTCGTCGCTCTTGCCCTCGGCCTCGGGCTCAATGCCATCATCCCAACCCGCAATAAGCAGACTGACGCCGTATGGGCGGACACCACCTGACTGCGTAGCCTCCTGCATGACCCTCGCTACGTCTTGGACTAATATCCTCGTCGGTGGGTATTCGTTGTAGACACGTTTGTATCCAGTATGCGAGACCTTGCGCGCCTTGTCGACGAGGACGCGATAATCGGGACCCATGCCTGAGTAGACCATGCCGAGGTTAGGCGTTATGAGACTGATCTTGGACGAGGATTGCGAGTCAATGAGCGGCGATGACGATTTCTTCTCCGTTGCGAGGACGATGCCATTGGTGGCTACAGCAGTTGGTCAGTGGCGTTGCACAGCTGTTGGAGGAAAGACATACCCTTAATTCCTAGTGAGGTAACGCCCTGATTGACGGCGTTCAAGGCATACTCTGTTGTAAAGTCAGAACACGGACAATGGCCCACGCTGCAACACTGGGAGCGTGCGTGCAAGGCGGCATACCAATCTGAACCAGCTTTCCGCTGCACGAACTGTCAGTGACCATGGCATATGTGCAGGCGGTAGTGCAGTGCATAGTTTACCTGGGAGAGAAGGTGGTGAGGGAGAAGGAGTATCTGTCCGCCATGGCGACTAAGGGGGTTGTGATCCGACAAGCTCAGTTCAGCGTGGATGATAATGCTGCAGTAGTCGTCGTCGTCGTTATTGTTGTTGTCGGGCGGCGGGGATGGAGAGACGGCGCACGCAGTGAACGGCGAGCTGCCACTAGAGCTCCAGGCTACCCAGAGCTTCGTTGCAGGCTTGCCAAGGCCGGCGCTCGGCTTTACCCTAGCTCCGGCCTCTTCGACCAAAGAGTAAAGCTGCAACTCTGAATTCTCCCGCCTTCCAGAACTGCGTCTTCGAATCCCTCAAACCGTCTGCAGCCGCCTGCCACCGTGTCCCCGCAGCCCGCACACCCCCCGCTGTGCGCAAGAAGACGCGGCTGTGCCGGAACATGATCCGTATTACCGGGACATTTGAGTTGGCGAATGTCTTCCCCGCGGCTTCTTGATTGATCCCCCTCGTCCTCTTCATGTTCACTTACGTGCTTCCTCCCTGGTAAGAGTCAGATTAAGCTCACCTCCCAGCCTTGATACTATACCCTCCTGCCCCTATGTCTTCATCCTCTGGCTTCCAGCCCATGCCAGGATGGTACTGGCCAGATGACGTACCCAAGCATGAGCCTGCGCAGTCTGGTACCGCCTCTGCAGATACATCATCGCGGCAACAGCACACTGGTGAGTCTGCAAGCGGCCCAAATTCGTCATCGCAACCGCGTAGTTCCAGACGCACCCACTGGCCCCCCAGACAGTGCAGAATATGCCTCGAGACGGTCCAGCCGACCTTCAACGTCCCTTCGCCAAGCCTACCCGGCTTCTTACAGTCTTCCAATGTGGTTTACGAAGATGAGACTGGTCGCCTGATCCGCCCGTGCATGTGCAAGGGCTCATCCAAGTATGTTCATGACGCGTGCTTGCAAGCCTGGAGGCATGCAGACCCCAGCTACGGTCGCAGAAACTATTGGCAATGTCCAACCTGTGGCTTCAGGTACCGCCTGGCCCGTTTGGGTGTCGGCCGGATTATTGGCAGTGTTTGTATGTTATACCGGCCATTTCTCCTTATTCACCAATGAAAGCTAACAATCTCGCTAGCTGCTCAGGTTGGTTTGACCGTCCTCATACTGTTTTCCATCATCTTCGTCTTAGGATTTGTTGCCGACCCTATCATCAACTTATATCTTGACCCCTGGAGTGTGCTGCTTCCCTGGTCTGGGCATTCAGCCTCTGATTACTCTTACTACTACGAAGACGAATCATCTACTTGGTATGAGCACTTTGCAAAAGGATTTGCAAGCATGGGCGTTCTTGGCTTCTTGAAAGTCCTGCTTGCTAGTCCACTCAGTTATTTTAGGATTGGAGGAGGCGCCCGAGGTCGTACGACGGGTCGCGATCGCTATGAACAAATCAGCTGGATCATCATTCTAGTTGGTGTTGCTACCTTCTTAACGGTATGTGCCGGGACGATGTCAAGTGAAAACGCATGCTGATTTTGAATAGGCAATTTACAAGGGAGTTCGATCTTGGAGTCGCCGAACGCTCGAAAGAGCTGGCGAACGCGTCATGGATGTCCAAGGCGATGAGGAAGATGAGGACGAATAGCTACAGTTGTAATCACCATGTATCATCATGTATGATCTCACAACCATGTGTCCAGCCTTGGCCTAGAGCCGTCCCAAGACCCAATCCGCACTTTCTTAAATTGCCACAAGTTATTCCTCAATACTGTGTCGATTAGTCTACGTGCGAAGATCAACCCAGCCCATGACATCCATATCAGCATTGTACGTTTTGTGCTAGCTGGCTTCTTGGAACATGGTGCTACTTGCCTTTGGCACTCATTTTGTTCTATCTCGCCAGCTCCTCGGGGCACCTCCCATGGCTTGAACGACATCAGGCCTTTGGCACATTCATGTCCAGTTTAAATTGTATTTTCTTTGCTTTGACGGGGACAGACGTCCTGGAATTCTTTTGACATGACAACAGGAAAACGTAGCATGCACCATATGAGCGAGTTTAGTAGAAGACTAGATCAGTAAAGATCAAATATTATTATTGTTTGACCGCAAACAATGGTCAATGTGAACCATACGAGAGGTTTCTGGCGTATCCAGCCCCCTTGTCCCAGTGCTATGAAGCATACTCTTCTAATCATGATCCCATTGAATCCGCCTTGGAGGAAAAAAAAGACTGAAACCCCAAAACCGAAAGCAAGAGGCCCCTTTGCCTTTGCTTACTAGACGCCAAGGTAATAAACGGGAAAAGAGAACAACCTAACCATTGAAATATGTGCCGAAAAAGCCCTGGGGTATCAAATATTCTTGTTTTATACACTGCCAGCGCCCTGGGAAAATGGCGCTCGCATTACTCACCAAAAGTGGGGTTCCCGCCCTTCATAAAGAGCCTCCTTGTCCCACCGACTCTACCCAAATCTTTGAATTCAGGCTTCTTGCCGCCCAGAGCTCCCCCGGGGCCCGCGCGGCTTCCTGGACGACTGCCGCCACTGGTGAGTGGACGCTCGTCGCGTTGCGAGACGGGACGATCGGTTGGAATTGCGTTTGTGCTCACGGTGCGAGCTTGCTTCATCATGCCTTCAATCCACACCAGCTTGTCACCGCTGAGATCCAACTTTTTGGACGTTGGGCCCGCAAGCCCAACTTCTTTGCCTTGCCACGAACTACAAGATGACGTGGTCGAGGGTACATCTGGTTCTTCGCCCCGATCTGGGGTTGAAGCGTGGAAAGTCGGCATTCGCGGAGGCGTTTGGTCTCTAGAGATGCCGACACCCAAACCAGAAGCTTTGACAGGGGTAGTGGAAGGGCTGGGAATCGGGTAGCCAGCGCTGATGCGCCTCTCTCGCCTACTCATGACGCTCTCTGGGCGACCGGGTGATTGATCTGGATTCTTGATTTCAAGACCCACGACTTCGAATTTGCCCTCGCTTGCTGTCCGTCGACCGTGGTGCTCAGCGTATTGACGCAGATATTCGCCGAGATCAGACCAGCCACCACCAACGCGTACCATGACACGCTCGCCATTCTCCCCTACGCGACGAATGAATAGCTTGACGGGTTGCTCCTTGCCTGGTTGGGTAAGATGATATAGCTTGATATCGTTATCGCCTCTTGCTGCTGCTGCAGATCTACGGCCAGACGAGGCATTGTGAAGATCAAATTCACTCTTGGCAGGGGACAGAACAAGCTCAGGTGCTTTGAAGTTGCTCACAGAGCGAGCTGCACGTAAATACGTACGACTTCCTTTTGCCGTCAAACCACGTGCTGGTTTTACTTCGGGAGCGTTAGGTCCGGGGCCTGACGTGAGCCTGATGTGCGCCGGGATTGTTGTCAGGATATCAGAGATCTTACGCTCCAGTTCCTCTGCGCTGTTACCAGGTTTGTGAGTGAAATGAGATGGCGGCCATGGTGCATTAGCTGGAGGTTGTTCGAGAGTGGTTGATTCTTGTTCCAGTCGCCGCTTTGGCATGGCGCCATTGAGTTCTGAATGAGGCATCCTCATTTCACGGAGAGTAGGGTTGCGCACTGACGGGGACTCTTCGACAGTACTGTGTGGGCTTGAGTCTGGAGACAGGTCCGTGGAAAATGATCCAAGGCTTCCCCTCCAGGAGCGCGGTGTCTGGGGAGGGTCAATGACGGCATCATCGCTGCTATCTTTGGCGGTGAGAATTGGCATATCTGGGATCGCAAGGACCCTGGGATAATGTTGCATATGGTTTTCCGATGAGTCATCTGGTTTGGGGTCGCCTGGAAACAATGAATCGGACTCGGCTAGAACAGCGCCATGGTCCGGGCTCTCGTTGAGAACGTGATGCACAACAGTATCGCCTTCGTCAAATTCCGATTCATCGTCAGAGGGTAGCGGCTCAGACTCGAAGCTGACGTTTGCTGGAAGTACGCTAGACGAAGGTTGTGGTGAGCTGCCAGATACAAAAGGCGAATCGTCTTCTGCAGGCGCATCGTAACCCAGAAGAGCCATATGCTGCCGAGGAGATAACGCGACGGCGTTTTTTGGGGACGTTGCTGAGCGTATCTTGGGTGAAATGATCTCATCTATAGACTCGAGAGAGTGTCCTGGCTTTCTGAGTGCATCTGATTGCAAAACAAGACTTGGGGGTCTGTTCATGGGAGAATCAGAGTTTGCCTCTATATGCCTATCTTCACTGGCACTGGATTTGACAAGAGCTGTAGCGATTGAAGAGGACTGATCGATGTTATGGTCTGTTTTTGGAATTGTGCTCGAGCTGGGATCTGGTGACAACTGCTGGGTGGTAGCAAGTGCGCTTCTTGGTGCAGCTGAGTCGTCTGCTCGCCTGCGTACCTCTGCATCGATCAGTCTCCTCCTAGACTCATGTTTCCAACGCCCGTAGTCTGCCTCTGTAGCCTCAAAAGTGTCTATCCAGTGCTCTGGCAAGCAATCTTCTCGGCCTTCAAGTGTGTCGAGCATCCTGTCCAAACGTCTACCCAAACTGCTCACTCTCTGATGAAGGACGGTGGAAATGGTGTCTATGGCTTCTTTCCACTGTTCAAAGGCAAGATCAGAGGGATCAGCTGGCGGCTCGATGGCGTCCCAGCCCAAGCGCATGGCCTTCTGCGCGGTATCAAGGTCGCTGATGTAACGAGGAGCCTCGCGCAAGATGGAGACTCGGGCTGTCCATGTGTTGAGGCGCTCTTTGAGCTTGGTGTGATGTGGTAGGGCTGACAGCAGGGTCTGGGTGATGAGGAAGGAGAAGTCATCCATGACCTTGTAGTGTTGGCGAGTGGCTTCGTAGCCGGCAGAGGAGGGCCTGGACTTTGCAGCGGGATGCATATCCAGCACGTATTCCTTGAGCTCTTCGACGTCTAGTTTGAGCATCTCGTCGCCAATCTCGTCGAGGCGCGCCTCATGCTGCTCCACCTCGACTGAAAGCAGCGAGCCCCAGTATTCAAGCGGCGGCACGGCGTGATCGAGGCCGAGGTCGAGACGGCCGACGTGTTGCTTGATGCGCAGCTCGATACTCTTGCGTTTCTGCTCGCGCAATTGAGGGCTGGGTTCCTCAAAAGAGCCCGACCATCCCCACTGCTCAATCTCAGCGCACCATGCCTTGAGGCGTTGGGCGGCCTTGGCGACGCGCGCGCCTAGGTCTCTCTCGGCGGCGGTGAGGGTGTCGATACAGGCAAAGATTTTGTATTCGTCGCGCGTAGTGTCGAACGGCACGGGAGTGTAGGTGAAGGCGCGCAGTGTCGTCTCGGGCGACAGATCGCGAAGGCGGCCGTCTTCTGAACCGGCGTGGAGGCGGCCTCTCCGGCCACTGGGCGACATGACTGGCGATGGGACCCGTCGGGGGGTATGCGGTGGCATCAAGCGCACGGGGGACGAAAAGGCGTCCATGATGCCGCTCGCGAACGCTGGTGAAGCGGATGATTGAGTGGATGATTGTCTCTTTATAAACAAGGGTCCTGTACGGTAGCGATTGGGCCACCGGACGGGGCACGCAAGACGGGATGTCTTCTCGGCGTGTCTACCGCAAGGATTGTTGGAGCGTGCCGCCCGTCTTGTTTGCGACTGATGGTGCGAGCAAGACGTTTGCGCTGCCGGCAGCTCAGAGTATTTGTTGACTTGGAGTGTACGTACAGTGCTGGCTTGTGGCGCTACGGAAGTGGTGGGTGCGTCGGGGGAGCCGGAAATAGAGTCCAGGACCCCAACAACGCACTTGCACGCAGTTGATGCAATTCCATGTCGGCGATCTACACGCCGTGTCAAGCTTTTCGTGAGCATTGAATCAAAAAGAAGCACCGGTGCCGTGAGCTTGATTGGCCTGCTAAGTAACAGATCTCGGACGTGGAGTACACGGACTTGTGAAAGGTTAGATATATTCATTATAACTATATTATGTATTTATAATTGAATTTTTTTTCTATATATGTGGTACGATGGAAGCCGTAGTTCAGAGACAATGATAGGCATGGCAACGGGAAAGTGGTGAGGGTCCGACGCTGCAACTTTACATGGCACAATACTGTTCAGTGTCGTCTCATATAAGTATAGTATTCGTTTGTGCACAGCTCACAATCCCCGTTGATACAATGATTCGAAACTTGTCATGGTCTAGTCCCAAAGAGGATAAGCCCCGGTCAGTTTCCAGTTCCTTCTCCACACCTACATACAGACACACTGACACACAGACACGCAATACCATCCACGAATACCATAGCTGCGCAAACGCCACAGTAGGGTGATACCATGATGGTCCGAGGCACTATTTCACCAACTTCAACGTCTCAGTCCCTTTCGTTTGCGTTTTCATGGGATTGCGACAGACACGAGCGAGACAAAGAGTGAGATATGGTCGTTACGAATGGGGAATCCCCACTGCCCTTCCCCGCACAGCAGTCAATACATGCATATACACACACACACACTTACTTACATACCCCGGCCATCGGTATGCCCGTCTTACTGACGCCTTGCGCCCCGCGTCATTCAAGATGCTCCTTTCGATTCCAGAAGCCGACCGGCTATCCTACAGCCGATATCGTCATCCCTCGCGGCCAAGCACGTTGATGCTGCCTCGCGCATATCCAACCCCGCGACCTTCCACCCTGAGTTAGTCAATTGCCCGCATATCTCCTAGTACCTGCATTCCTGGATACCAAATACACGCAGGCCGCAGTATCCGACGTCACCGCCAATCGCTGCCTTTCGCCGAATCTTTTCCTTCAACGGTATCGTTGACGTTGCTGCGTCAAAGCTTGCCATGTCTATGTGCAAGTATTTAAAGTCACGGATACGCAGGGATTGCTAGATACACTTTGTGTCCCACCAGGACGTGCCATCTTCATCCCCTCACTCAGTCCGTCAACATCATGAGGCCATCACTCTTGGTCCTTGCGGTCATTGGCGCTCAGGCCTGCCAGCGTGAACGTGCTTTCCACCATCATTCCCACCCTCACGTTAAACGGCAGGCATCCTTTCCCCCCACCTTGACCCCACATGAGGAGATCTTGCTCAATTCTTTCGACGCCCTCTCCATATCTGAATGGTCATACTACTATAGTTCGTGTCGCAAGTCCCTCCGCAACCACAGCACTGCTAACTCTTCGCAGCTCATGGCGCCCACTTGGCTGGCCAGAACAAATCCATGGGTAATCAATCACCACCTCCGCCAGTGTTCTCAACAAAAAAAGCTAATTTATGATCAAAGCACAATGGACGGCAGATAGGTGGTCCGACTACGGTTTCACTTCACGCTTGGACGAATATTGTAGGCACAACCTCGACCCAAATCTTGCAACGAGACATGGATTGACAGTTTTCCAGACGTATTCTTGAACTATCCCGTGTCAAACTCCTTGAAGCTCACTTATAATAATGGGAGCACGTACACTCCTAGTCTAAAAGAAGCTGTGCTTGAAGAGGACCCAACCACCAGCTACCCAAACAGTGTGCCCGTATTTCACGGCTACTCCTTTACTGGCAATGCGTCTGCAGAATACATCTATGTCGGTAGAGGCCAGCAAGTCGACTTCGATCGTCTGATTGAGCTTGGTGTCGAACTCGAGGGTAAGATCGCATTGGCCAAGTATGGTGGGCCTTTTCGAGGTCTCAAGGTCAAGAATGCTCAGGACCACGGCATGATTGGAGCCGTCATCTTCACCGATCCTGGTGACGATGGCAACATGACCGAGTAATTGCATGTCTAGCCTATTCACGTCCCGTTGTGCTAACAGTCTCCAGAGCAAAGGGTGTCGCTCCTTACCCTCATGGCGGTGCTAGAAACCCTACCACCGTCCAGCGTGGATCGGTCCAATTCTTGAGTACATACCCAGGAGACCCAACCACGCCTGGCTATGTCTCTAAGCCAAACTCACCGCGCTCTGACCGCAGAAACATTCTTCCCCAAATTCCCAGTCTTCCCATCTCATGGATTGAGGCACAGCCTCTGCTACTAGCTCTCAACGGACACGGTTCAAATGGTACTGAAGTCAACAGGACGAGGTGGATTGGCGCTATTCCAGGTGTAGAATACTACACTGGTGAGGGATCGGGCGCTACGCTTTCCATGTCCAATGTTATGAATGACACATATGGTACAATCTGGAATGCCGTCGGTATCATCAATGGAACCAATCAAGACGAAGTCGTTATTGTCGGGAACCACAGAGATGCTTGGATTGTTGGCGGGGCAGCTGATCCCAACTCTGGATCCGCTGTGCTCATCGAGCTAGCTAAGGCATTTGGCGCACTCTCAGAGACTGGATGGAAGCCATTACGTACCATCGTACTCTGCAGCTGGGATGCCGAAGAGTATGGTCTTGTTGGAAGGTATGTATGCCACATGTTACTGTTGGCGTCTTCAACTAACATGTCTCTAGTACTGAATGGATGGAAGAATATCTTCCATGGCTCAAGAACGCCGCAGTCTCCTACCTAAATATTGATGTAGCAGTTTCTGGCCCGGTAAGCATCAATTGCATAATGCATGCGTAAGCCATACTAACATTGTCGGCCAATCTCCAGATCCCCGATGTTGCGGCAACTCCTGACCTCCATGCCATTGCTACCTCGTTGATGAAAAAGGTCGTATATCCATACCGTAACGAGACCGGTCTTACCATGTACGACGTGTGGACGCACGAGTCCAGTGAAGTTGGCGTCCTCGGCAGTGGAAGTGATTACACTGCCTTCCTCCACCGTGGTATTGCATCCATCGACATGGGAGCTGGCCCCGGACCAAATGATCCCGTCTACCCTTATCATTCCAACTATGACTCTTATCACTGGATGGCGACCTTTGGTGACCCAGGTTTTGCTACACACAAGGCCATGGGTCAGTTCCTCTCCCTTCTACTTTACCACATGGTCTCCGATCCTGTGGTGCCTCTGGAGCCAGCCGACTATGTCTCTGAGCTCAATACCTACCTCGATTCTCTGAAGGAGGATATCAGTGCCAGTAACTTCACCATTGACCTCAGCAATCTGACGAGTGCCATCTCCACGTTTGAGAGATCAGCCCAGGAATTCGTCCTTCTTCGGGATCAAGCAGTTGCGGCCAACGATACCGCGCTTATCACCGTGCAGAATCACAAAGCTCGAGATTTCTCTCGTGGGTTCACTAGCCAGGGTGGCTTGCCCACCCGTGAGTTCTATCAACATACTATCTTCGCTCCCGGTCGAGATACGGGATATGCTCCTGTGACGTTTCCCGGTATCACAGAGAGTATCACTTTTGATCAAGACGCCGACCTAGCGCAGGAGTGGGTTCAAAAGACTAGCGACGCAATCTTACTTGCTGCCAGTATCCTAAAAACTTAGGATAATTCTCTATAGATAAAGAAACAAAAACTAGCGTTTATCTATAATACACTACTTTTGCTAAATGTTGCCACTGTGCCTCTATCCTGCTGGGGATGGCCGAGAGAGCGTTAGATTACATTGTCCCGTTCTACTGAGAGTGCTGCCCAGCGTCTTCAACGCCGGCCTCGTGCGGCCTGAGTAGATCGGCACTGGCGCCGCTAATTTTTTTACATCTGCACTACTAGGCTCACTAGCCATCCCTGTCGTGAAATTCGCGTTTCCAGACGGTAGTTGCAGCTGTTCTATGATAATCTACCCGGCAGCTGGCAGAACATCGGGGCACAGTTCTGTCCGCGGACGCGAACCCTGGAGTGGTTATTGGGTATAAGTGGCGAGCAGTGGCGTTCACCATGACACGCCTTGGCAGGAGAAGATCCACAGCACCATCGCACTAGATGTACCGGCCGACACATATTGTCCAAAGCTATTCGTCGATATACGCAAAGAACACAACGTTCGAGGTACCTATCGTACGGTGAACCTCATTCAAGATTGCCCAGAATCATCACACTGCGCTCCCACTTCGTTAGATCCATCATTAAAATCATTATCAGCGCAAGGTAATTTTGCCTGTTGAGAATTCAGAGGAATAAGGTTTACGCCAATCCATCTAGTGTCGTGGAGATGCTGCTACACGCCAAGGAAGAAACCCCTACATCCCTACCTCGCATTGATCCGTTACACTCACTAGAAAGCTCTGAACAGATGTTCATCAAAGTAATCGCACCTTCGCTTGAGTTGTTTTTGCTGTACTCCAACCGGTTCAAGGAATTCCTTTACAAATAGCTTTACTCATTGCTTCCCTGTAATCGAGTGGCAAAAGATAGACTTGCTCGCCACCAGAACCTGGCAAACTAACTTGGTGTTCATCCATCAATCGGAGCCGTGCGTGTCGTCTGATTCAGGGTCAGGGCCAGGTTCGCACTATGCCTTGCGAGGTTTCGGGCACTTCTGAGGCAATCTTTGTGCGAACTGATATGTAAACTGAGCCACCCCTATGCAAGTTCCAAGGAACTATTCTTCCTGGGTCAGGTGCCCAGGTGGTGCAACTCTGCGACGGTGCTTGAAGAGATGCAAATTCGAAAATTGTTCGTAGCTGCGCTGTGTACCTAGCTAAGTCAAATCGGTGTTGCTGCACTCAACGATATTCGAAGTATGGACTCGCGGACTTTGTCAATCAGTGATATCCCGCTCTGTGGTGTGGGTCTCCAGACATCTATTACGTTTTAGGAATTTTTTTCTAAGACTTTTGTAGGCTGACATTTCATACAGTTGAGCTGCCTGTTCCTCACTGTGCCACCCACTGGCTGCGCTCTCGACGATTATGACTGCCAATGCCAGAATGCCCAACTCGCCCACACCCTTTCGACCTGCATGCTGGCCAATTGCACCATGGCCGACACCCTAAATACGGCGAAAGTGCAAAAGGACATCTGCCACCTCTCCAATGAGTCAAAGCAAAACGATGTCTACGTCTATACAATCGCTTGCTACGCCATCGCTGTAAGCTTTGTGCTTCTGCGGGTTATCGGTAGAGTAGTGACTCGAAGATTTGCTCTTGACGACTACATTGTGGTTACAGCACTGCTTTTCACCACGGTTCCTTTGGGACTAGTGCTCAAAATGGCCGGGGTAGGCTTTGGCGAACATCTCTGGAATCTCCAGGAAGGACAACTACTCCAGAACCTTCGATTCTTCTACGTGGCATGGGTAACCTACACGTTTGTACTTGGACTCACCAAGATATCCTTGGCATTGTTGTACAGAGAGGTTTTCCCATCGCCAGGCGCGCAACGGGGATCATTGGTGCTCTTGGTTTGGATCGCCATCAACACTTTAATTCTGATCTTCCTCACAATCTTCAACTGTAACCCTGTAAACGCATTCTGGGACCGCGATATCAAGACCGCCAAGTGTACGGACATCAATGCCATCGCATACGCGAACAGTGCATCAGCGATTGCCCAGGATGTTGCTCTGCTGGTTTTCCCTCTGGCATGCATTCGGACGCTGAACATGACGAGGTGGCGCAAGATAATGGTGGGCATCATGTTCGCTATTGGAACACTGTACATATTTCCCATTGTCATTTCCAGGTAGAAGTGGGTAGACTAACGAAAGTAAAAGAGGGTGCATAGCCACGATAGTCCGTCTACACACGATCCTGACCTTTAAGGTCACAATCGACCCCACTTGGGACTACGTTCCCATCACCATATGGACTGAAATCGAGCTTGCATGTTGTTTCGCCTGC